TTTCCCCTTCCCAGGAAAGAAGAGAGTAGAAATTGGGATTAAGTTCTTTCATTTCCTGGTCCTTAATGAAAATTTAGGGAGATCATAATTCACTTGAGCACATCCCATGGAGTGAGGAGTGAAGAGTGAGGGGAGAGGATGAGATTCCCAAGATTTAGCAGGTGGAGCAATCACCCAGCCCCAGAGGAGGTTGGGGTGATGGTTTTTGGGGCTCTTGGCAGTTTTGGGATACTGATGTGGCTACAAACTGGCACAGCTTTAGGAGAGAGACAAAAGGTGGTGCCTAAAAACCTGACTGTTCCAAAACCTGACTGGATAAAAACCTGTCTGCCTAAAAACCTGACTGCCCCAAAACCTGACTGGATAAAAACCTGTCTGCCTAAAAACCTGCTCTAACCAGCGACAGAGATGGTTTTGGGGAGGTATCAGTGGGGATATTATTTCTTTATGATCTCTTCTCTGGCCCCCTCAATATTTGTTTTACACAGCTGCCTCCAACATCTGCTTTTCATCTCTGCTCTCTGTCCATGTAGGTATTCAAAAATGCCTTCGTTCTTTCAGCTGCTTTGTGTGCCTCCTGCCTTGTCAATGAAACGTGCAGATAATTGAATTTAAAAATCACTTTCAAACAGGTTACTGAGTCTTTTACACCCAAATAATTAAAGGAGTAATGTCTGCCGCTTTCCACACAAGGGAAGATGGGGAAAAAGAGCAGGATGGGCCTGAAATTTCTCAGGAATCTGAAAGGAGGCTGAAGCCATTCTGTAGTTCCTATTTGAGGTGTTTTCACACCTTTCTACCAAATGGATTTTAAGCTGTTTCCCAGCCCTTCCTCTGAGCACTTGGAGCAATCAGATCCCAAGTGTGGTTGAGCCTTTGAGCCCAGGATCCAGCTCTGGAGCATTGGGATTCCTGGGAGAGCAGCTCCTTGGGGTCAGAAATCCCAGATTCCTTGGCCTTTGGTTTCATGGCTGGCATGGAAATGTCTCAGTCCTGGCAGGCAGGTCCTGGCAGCTTCACCCTGCTGGGAGGGGGCGTTGCACGAGTGGGGTTTGCAGTTTTTCCATCCCACTTTCAGTCTGAAATTCTCTCCCTCCTCTCTCCTCCCCGGGACACGCGGGGTTGTTGCTCTTGGATTAAGGAGCTGCAGCTCCGAGGCTTTTCTCAAAAAGCAAATACAACTTTTGACCTCAGTGAGGAGCAGATTTTGCCTGGATCCAAGGTCAGCAGCTCCACGAGGCTCCTGAAGCCTCCTCCCTCTCATTCTCACTGCAGCCTTCTCAGAGAAAAACCCTTTTACTTCACAGAAAATCCCTCTCCTTTTGATGTTTTTCCCATTCTTTTTTATTGATCTCCTTGGGCAAAGCTCGCCCTTGGAATAACATCCCTCCACACTGCAATATCTGTGTGTCCCTGGGGCTGGGCTTCTCCTGCATCTTGGATCAGGCACAGAACAGGCGAATCTGCATTTTCTCATGTAGGTGATAAACAGGGAGGTTTGGACTCACTGAATGAAAGACTGAAAACTCGAAAGAAAATATTCCCAGTCTCAGGGAGGTGGTCTGAAGTATAACCCACCTTCCAGCCTAGAGGAAAAATGAGGTTTGCATCCCTTCCTTCTCCTCCTCCTCCTGTTTTTTCTCCTTTTCTTCCTCACAGTTAGGGCAAAGAGCCCATCATAAGGAAAGGAGACTGGAAACAAAGCTGCCAGGTTATGGCTCTGATGTCTAAAAGGTGTAGGGGATTTTAAGAAAAGTAACAAGAAGCAGAATTGGGCCAGGTGGGATCAAGATCTGCAAGTCCTGGATGTCCCAAACCAGCCCTGAGTGGAGCCCCAAGGTCAGTGTCCACCTGGGTTCACATGCCCTGGTTTTGTTTGGCAGGCAGAGGAAAATCTCCCGTGCTTCTGCTTCTTCCTCCATCTGAAAATGTAAACTATGGTAAAGTATCTGCTTATAGTGTGACCTCTTCACTTGAGTGGGGGTTCTGTTCTGGGGTGAATTCCAGCAAACCACGGTGTTTACAAGGAAAATGCCTTTTTTCGGTGTTCTCATGCCCATTAAAAGTCCTTGGGGGAGAAGCTGGGGAGTTTTCATGACTCACCCAGGGAAGCTGAGGGAGTAAATATTTTTTAAATGTTTCAAACTGTTTTTAAAAACAAAAGAATAAAGAACTTAACTAAAATCAGTTTTAAATAATTGTTTGGTACCTCCTCTGGTGACATAACTGCTCTTTTAAACCAGCAAGGTGCTGGGTTTTCCACCCAAACTCAGGTTTGCAGCAAACAGGAACAAACTCAGCCCTGCCAGGGCTCGGAGCATCGTTTCTAAATTCCAGGAGGGATTTAGCCCAGTCTGGGGACAGGGCTGTGCTGGACAGACAAAACCCTTCCCGAAGGATTGTGGCTCCCCACCGTGGCAACAGCACGAGTTGGGCTGGGGAATGTGCCAGAGGAGGCAGCCCTGGGTGATGAGGCTGGAGCTGCATGGGAAGGTGATGGAAAGGGCTTGGAGCAGCCTGGTCTAGGGGAAGGTATCCCTGTCCGTGGAGGGGTTGGATTAAATGACCTTTACAGTTCTTTCCAACAGAACCATTCTGTGGTGGCCACTGGCAACTGGGAGTTGCAGCCCCTGGGAGCTCCAGCTGCTGTTCCAGGAGCTGCTTCTGCACAGGGCTGGGGGAAATGACAGTTCCTGTGAGGGACAGGCAGAGTCCCACACTTCCCCAGGGTCACCCGGCTCTGTAAACAAACTTCCATGTGCCTGGAGACAGATCAGAGCCCGGGACTCCATCCCTCTGCTCCTCAGCACGCTCAGGGAAAAGCCAAGAGCAATAGATTTATGGAATCCAAACATCACAAATGCGATTTATTTACACTGCTGACGCCAAAAGGAGGAGCAGATGCTTCTGGTTTGGATGCCTGTCCAGCTTAATTTCAGGAAAACATGGGGGTCAGTGTGAGGGAAAGGAAGGAATCAACACGTTGTGTCACCCCAGTTACAGTCCTGGTCCATCCCTGTCACATCCTCGCAGTTTTTGTGCCTGAACACAAAGCTCAGCTCTCCAGGAACAGCCTCCAGAGCCACCCCTGCACACACAATCCCATTCTCCCTAATTCTGCTGCAAGATTTCCATCCAGGATGGCTCCAGCAGGGCCAGAGCTGGGCCAGGGGGCTGCAGAGCAGTGCAGGTGACTCGGTGTGGCAATGCCTTGTCCTGCCTCAAACCATCCTGGCCACAAAGGAGTGGATTAAAAGCCCCCACGGGATTTATTTGGCAATTGCACCGTGCAAGGGAGAGGTCCCAAAACAAGGTCTGAAGAAAGGGGAATTGTGTGGCCACTGAAAGGTGGGTTTGGCAAACAGACGTGGAGCTGGCTGTGACCTGCTGCCTCCTGTGCCACATTGTGGGATCACACACCGGTCCCTTGGGAAGAGACCTTAAAGCTCATCCAGTCCCACCCCTGCCATGGGACACCTTCCACTGTCCCAGGGTGCTCCAAGCCCCATCCAACCCGGCCTTGGACACTTCCAGGAACAACCACAGCTTCTCTGGACACTGTTCCAGGGCCTCCCCACCCTCCCAGGGAAGAATCTCTTCCCAATATCCCACCTAACCCTGCCTTCCTTCATCCTAAAGCCATCCCCCCTGTCCTGTGCCTGCCTGCCTTTGCCCAAATTCTGCAGCACGTGTCCGAGCAAAGCAGGGTTTTCCTTTTGGGCTGGTTTGGTCCCTCTCTCCCAGCAGAGGGCACGATGTGCAAGCGAGAGCGGCGATCCCCGGCCAGGAGCGATTCCTGGAATGATGTTGCCGACGGGAACAAGAGCCAAAACCCCTTGAGATGGGACGTGTCGGACGCGGTGTGTAATGGTTGGGGTGGCCAGGGCCACTCACTGCTCCCAGCCCGGGGCCAAACACCTTCTTGCACTTTGCAGAGCTTGGTTTCGTTATTACACATCCCCGGAGGTCCTTTAAATGGCATTCGTGGAAACAGCCGTGAATTCAAGAAAATAGAGCCAGCATCTGTTAGAAGAAACCAAATTGCCCCTAATTTTCCGGAGTTTTGATCTCGAAAGAGCAACATTTCCCAAAAACAGTCAATGTCTTCTAAAGTGATTTACTGCAGGGAGCAAACCCATCTCCTCAATCCAATCAGCTCTGTGGGAGGTGTGAGGTCTAAATCCCAGTGTTTGGATTATCAATGATTCAGAAAACTCATCTCTAGAAATACTTACCTGTAGAAAAATACCTTCCTGACCGAGTCTTTCATTTTCCCTGGATAATTATGAAATTTTCTTTGAGAGGCTTCCCAGCAAAAGCAGGAGAAAAGGTCCCTTCTTGCCTAAATCATTAAGTAAGGTGAACATGCTGTGTAACCTCAGTTCTAATTTAAGGATTTTGGTCATTCCTATAACATGGGAATTCCTCTTTCATGGGCACCATTACATATCTGTTCTGAAAATCCTTTTATTTGACCTTTCTGCTCACATGGTGCTGCTGCACCATGATGAAGTGATGAAGTCTTGGCTGACACTGACTTACAAACAGTGAAATATAAATCACTTTTCTTCCAAGAGGCAAAGTTTACACAAACCCCATGTCCTGGGAGAACCTCTTGTGAGAGGGAAATGCCTTCCTTCAGCTGCCCCGTGACAGATGGAATTCCCTGTTGCAGGGATGGGTGCCTCTCCATCCCTGAAAAGGTTTTTGTACCCCAGAAAAGGTTTTTGGGGTCCTGGAAAAGATGGATTTGGGGTTTGGTGCAGGAAACAGCTCCATGATAAATACATTTGGTTTGGAGAAGCTGTGGCTGCCCCATCCCTGGAGGTGTCCATGGTTGGACAGGGCTTGGAGCAACCTGGGATAGTGGGAGGTGTCCCTGCCCATGGCAGGGGGTGGATTAGATGACCTTTAAGGATCCTTTCCCACCCAAACCATTCCATGATTTTGTGATTCCAAGCTCTTGGCAAAGGCAGATTCTGAGCTTTTTTGCAGAGAATTATCTGACCCCACAGCCACAGCTCCATCAACCACCAGGAGTCAGCCAAAACGACTCAGGGAATTGTATCCAAGTGGAAAATAAAAATAGCTCATGTGCTTTAGTTGAACTGTCAAGAAGCCCTCTTTATTTCAAGGATTTGGAAACTTCAGACGAGGATGTGAACAAAGGGACTGGAGGGTCTGTCCTTGACTGCAGAGTGCTTTGGGTGTCCCAGCCATGCAGATCTCTCCAATCCTGGCGTTCTGTCCCAGAATTTCCTTGTGGAGCATCTCCTTCCCTTTCAGCCTGACCACTGCCACAGCCCCCAGCTGCTCTCAGGAGGGACATTGGGTCAGCAGAGAATCATCGAGGTTGAAGGGATCTCCACGATCACCGAGTCTAACCTGAGCTGTTCCATGTGCAGAGGTGGCACCAGCCAAGGGAAAAGCCAAAGCTGCTCATTCTCCTGGGAAATCACTTCCTCTCCTCACTGCTGGGTGTGCACAGGGCAGCTTTTGGCCCTGGAGGACAGCAGGAAGGGCTTCCCCACCCAGCACAGCACCCGTGAGCAGCGCAGCAAAACCAGCAGCAGCCCCTGGGTCTTCCCTGGTGGCTTTCTGCTGACGGGGGGAACTCTTCCATTTATCAGTTCCATCATCCTGTGCAGGGTTTTGTTTCCTCTCCATCTGCAAAGGTGATCAGAAATGGGGCTGAGGGGGATCAGCTGCCAGGAACTGCACCACAGCAAAACTGTGAATTTGCTGAGATAGGACAGGAGATAGAACATCCCCCGGTGTCACTGGGTTCTCTCTGTCCCTCTTTGCCAACCAAGGAGTCAAATGTGATCTAAATATTCACTATAAAAACCTTGCCAACATGGGCTGAAACAAAATAATCATCTCCTCTAGATCTTTCTAGCAGAACCTCTACAGAAATACATAAATAATGCCCAGGCTTTAACAAAATAGATTTTTATTAATTACAGCACTTCAAGTAACATTTCATTTCTCCTGGGAGTGTCTCACTTCATGCTCCAGGAGCAAGAAGAGGTTATCACAGTGCATCAAGTTATTAGGACATCCTTCCTGCTGACAGGATCAGCTTTGATTTGGAATATTTTAATTGACTTGATTGCATTTCTGGTCTGCTTTTACTGATCGCCAGCCCTTGGCAGGGCTTCCTTTTGAGTCCCCTGAGAAGCAAAGTCAGCACTCAGCTGCTGGTGCTGCAGCCATGAGCTGAGGACAGCAGAAAAATCCGGGAATTGCACAAGGATTTGGGGGTGGCAGAATCATCTGGGAATGGCAAAATGATCTGGGAATGGCAGAATGATCTGGGACAGCAGAAAGATCTAGGGATGGCAAAATGATCAGGGGGTAGCAGAATGACCTGGGATGGCAAAATTATTTAGGGGTGGCAGAAAGATCTGGGGATGACAGAATGTCTGGCAGAAGTTCAGTGTCTCGTCACCACAGTCTGTACCTGGAGCTCCTGTGTGAAATCAGAGGATTTGGAAGTGCCCATGGCCATGTGTGCCCATTGGGCAGTGTCAGAGGTGTCTGGAGCACTTTGTGTTTTGCTGATAGAATCCCAGAGTGTTGAGGAAATCCCAGGAATGACCAGCTGGGGAACAGCTCTCCCACATCCACCCAAGCCCCAGTGTGGTCAGAAGGACACTGGTAGCTGTGATCTTCCACACCACTGCCAGGGGAGGTGGGACAGCTCTGCCAATGCCAAAAATTCCCTCCCTGCCTCTAAACCCACAGCCATGGAATCGCTGGAGATGCCTCTGGGTGCAGTACATGGAACCTCCACACAGCGGGGTTCTCAAACTCTCTCTCCTGGGGCTGAAGCAAACAGCTGCCCTGCATCTTCCCACCCCTCCATTTCAGAAAAAGGATGTGGGAGAAGCTGTTTCCTGCTTTGCTGTGACAACCTCCCAAGAACAGCTCTGGGAAGGTTCCAGCTCTGTCCCAGGAACTCTCCCTGAGCCCACCTTGGACACCTTAGTGCTCACCTTGTCTCTCCATCCCACCTGCAGAGCCTGGGGGTCACCTGAGTTAGGAATATTTTAGGACAGATCCTGTCTTCAGTAAACAACTACACAACTCTTGGCTCAGCAGATCCCTGAGGAAGCCTTTAAGCACCCCTTTTTATATAAAAAATAGTGGGGTTGATTTACAACCATGAAATGTCTTTTGTTTCACCTCTACAGTGAATAAAGTCTAAATAAACACACACCAGCTGTGGTGTCTCAATGCCAAGGGGCTCCTCAGCCCCAAACTCCCCTCAATAACAGCTGGGCAGGTTTAAATCAGGAAGGTTTAAACTCCCTGGCGAGCCTTGGTTGAACAACGGTTTGGAATTGCATTGAAGCTGTCCCAGCATTCCCAGAAGGAGCAGATCCTACTTGGATTTGAGTCTAGACCTGGGAGATATGCTGAAAAATATCTTGTAGTAGATGTACACGTTGACAATCCTCAGCAGGATTCCCAGGATGTAGCTGAGGGACCGGAGCAGGGCTGTGGCTGAGCTGGAGATGTGGCACAGGAGCCCCAAAGGGCCCTGGTTGGGGACGGAGGAGCTGCTGGCCCTCAGGTGCTCATCCAGGAGGAACAGGGCACACTCTGCAGCCACCAGCATCCAGACGGCCCTGGATACCAGCCTGGCATTCCTGACTGTCCTGTGGGGCCGCGATTCCGAGGGCAGGAAGGTGATCAGGTAAGCCTCAAAGGCCACGCAGCTGAGCAGGACACAGCTCACGTGGGCATTGGCCACCAGGAGCGTCCGCGCCAGCGGCGAGGATGAGGGAGAGACACCAAAACCCCCCAAAACCGCGTCGGAAACAAGGCTGAGGAAAACCAGGATGTCTGCCTGGGCCAGGCTGGAGATGAGGACTGCAGTGGACTTGGAGGAGACCTTGGCAGACTGCAGGAGGATGATGGTGTAGGCGCTGCCCAGCAGCCCCAGGAGGGTGCTGACTGCGTTGGAGGAAGACAGGACGAGGTATTGGATGTATTTCAGTGCCAGGTATCTTCTGAGATCTTTCATGTGGTCTCTCTCCATTGAAATGCCAGTTAGGGAAGAATATCTGGAATACATATTAAAAAAAAAAAAAAAAACAACAACCCAGTGATTAAATGTAAAATTAGCAGGATGGATTCCAGGCAAACTATGATGGACCTGCACTTGTACAGGCACATTCCAGCTTCCAGAGATGGATGCCAGCTCAGGATCTGAGCTTGTATTTACAATTCATCTCATAAACAGGAATGAAGCTTGTAAAGTGCCTGGGTATTTTTAGATAACAGCATAATCTGTGTAATCTCGCACTGGAGGGGTGTAAGTGTGAATTATCCCTGTCCCTGAAAGGGAGGAGCCAGAAAATGATAAGATGCAGTTCCTAGAAAATACTAAAATCGTCTCCGAATTAATTTCTAACAAATAAACAAGGCAATTGTTATCTAAGCACTGTTATCTAAATATCTAAATGGGAGAGAGGAGATAAAAAAGAACAATGTGGGTTTCTCACAGATAGAGCAAATTGATTGAGCCCAGCTTCCTCCTGCAGCAGGGTGATCAGTCCTGGTGGGAACAGCCACATATTCACATAGCTTGAATTTTCTGAAGGGTTTCAATATTGTTTCATGAGGCATTTTTAGGGAGGAGCAAGGTAAGAAATGTGGCCTAGGTGAAGCTATGGTTAAGTCATACACAGCTGGATAGGAACCCGAGGGAAGGCTCATTCTCAGGAATTTGAGGAATGATGTGTCAGGTGGGGCTCTGCAGAGATCTCACATTTGGGTTTTCATGAATTGTAAGGAGAAACTCAGCAGAATTTAGATCTTGACTGAGGTGTGTGACCAGCTTTGAGGCCAAGAGCTCAAAAGAGCTGTCACTGAAGAAGTTTCAAGGAGGCTGATCAGCAGAGATTGAGCCGAGTGTAACAACTCCGTTTCTCTCCTCTTGAGCAATTATCTCCATGTGTAAATTCCCAAAATTCCCTGTGTCAGCACCCTGGAGCTGGTGTCACAGAGCTTTTCCAGCACATTACCCAGCAGGTCTGGGTGGTTGTTTAAGTCATCACCTGGGTTTCGTTTTGCTGGGATGATGGGAAAATGATAACCCTGAGTGATTCCTGTGAAAAGTACGGAGCCAGGTTTTTGAGACTGAGATTCCCATTGCTTGTAGAGACTTGACTGGTACCAGGTTGACTCATCTGAGATTCACATGTGCCTGTTCTTTGTCTTTGAAGTGTCCTATCCAACTTGCTGGGGAAGAAATAGGAAAAGATTTCTCCCTGTATTTCAGCTGAGTCAATCATCCTACCCTCACTTCCCACAGTGATTAAGTGGAAAAACGACTCTGCATTTTGTGGCAAAAGCAAATAATCTTAGAGGTCTTCTCCAACCTTAATGACTCCATTATTGGTTTGACCCTTTGATACAGAGCACCAAAGAAATTCCAATCTAATGGAAGAAACGCTGAATCCACAACATGGAACTCGTGCAAGTCCCCAACTCCAAGAGGAGGAGAACCAAGCCATGACCTGTGCAGCTGAATCCTGATTTATCTTCTTATCTTCAAACAAGTTACTCCTTTGAAAGGTACATTAAGAACCTCCTGTCGTTATTTTTTTTTTCTTGCAACCTATTTCTGCTTCCATTTTCATTAATTATATTATTGAGGAGATAAATTACATGCCTCAATAAAGATCTTTGCTCGTTTTGGGACCACCATCCAAGGGCTGGATTTACAGCAGATCTTGTCCATGTGGAGCATTTGAACTCAGAGCTTCTGGGCTTGGGCTCCTACTTTACCCCAGGGTTTGGTGATGAGTCCAAAGAGGAGCTTTAGGAATCAGGAGCAGCCGGAGAGACCAGAGGAGGTGCCCAGGGCAGAACCCTGAGGAGCTCAAAATGCTTCTCCCATCCTCTATTTTTCAAACTTCAGCATTTTCCATAGTGCTGCAGGCATTTTTCTGAGTCCACAGTGTCCTTTGTGGAGCTCCTGGCTGGAAGATGCCTTCCTGCTTTTTGTTGGTGACAACCAGAGCTATCCATCCCTGCATCCCACGGCTGCCCCTGGAGGCAGGATCGCTGCCAGGGCTCCCTCCTGCTCCCTCCACCTCTTCCACACTATAATTTAGGGGTTAAAACTGGCATCCAGAATGCAGCAGAGCCAGGTTTGATTTCCTCCTCGGCCTCAGGGGATTGAGATGTTTATCTCCTGTGGGTGGATAGGGATTGTCCTCGTGCCTCTGGAGGAATCTGGGCACAGTGTGAGAAAACAGTGGCACAAAGGGCAGGGATCAGGAGCAGCCCCATGGGTCACCACACAGGCACTTGCACGTGTTCGATAGGGAAGAGACATCCCAGTTGCTGGCACTTGTCCAAGTGCTGTTTGGATTCATCTGCTCTTGGGAATGAAGCAGAGCTGGGAGATGTTCCCAGGTGCTGGAGCTCCGTTCATGGGGAGATCCAGAGGCTCCTGGCAGAGTTTTGGCACTTCCAGTGTCAAATGGGGACACGGTTGGGCTGTGGCAGGAGGAGGCAGGGAATGGTGCCCACCCCACAAGGATGCTGGGAGGGCACAGTCCCTGCTCCTGTAGCCAAACCAGTGCCAGAGAGTGCCCTGGGCATGGCTCTGGTCAGACACAGCCTCTGCACAGGCAAGAGAAATGTAAAACTGGTGAAGAGTGGGTGCATGAAGAGAGCACAGGCAAGGCTGAAGCCACAAACTCCTCCTGTGTGGCTCCCACTGCCAGGATCCCCATCCACGACTTCCTCCAGCTGGGAAATCCCACCAGCCCAAAAGACATTTGGTGAGAAGAGAGCAAACCCTTCCCTCTGCCTGCAGCTGGGATCACACCTGGAATGGGAACACGAGTGGGGAGATGTTTCCTGAACGTTTCCAGAGCGGCCACACTCAGTGAAGGAGGAAACCTGAGCTTCACCCATTTATTTACAGCCTTCAAAGCAGCTCTTGTGGCCTGTGGTTCAGGTCACCCACAGCAGGATTCCTGCACATGGACAGGGACACTTGGACAGTTTTTGGTCAGATGAAATCTCAGCTCAAGCTCACAGAAAGTTTCCTGAACCAGCACTTGGTGTTTTCAGTGCACTGCTTTTTTATCTCCACAGACATCTCTCCTGACACACTTCCCAAATTCCAGTTAATAATAACTTCTCATTTGTCATAAGTACACTGTTGTAGTCTAAGGGGTTCCCAAAAATACCTCCTGCACTTAAACAAGTAATTCCTTTCAAAATTCCTCCTGGAATGATGTCAAAAAATATAGAGAAGAGGAGAACAAATTAAAAAGACAGATTAGCACTGAATATCCCGACTGTAATGAGGTGCTATTCCTTATTTGAAAAGGAAAAATACTTACATTTGCTGGAAGAAGCAGCCAGGGATAGTTTTCTGCATCCCTGCACTCTGTGATGTCTCAGCAGAGCTGAAATGTGCCGTTTCCCTTGGAATGATTCCTGGTTTTTATACAGAGCACCTCGTGTTCGGCTCCACGTCAGAGCTGGGATTTGTTTTGCTGGGCAACTTCCTCCAGAGCTGGTTTCACAAGGATTACTCACCCCAATCATGGTGCCCATTAACTTTCAGCTGTCTGGAAAAACTGATGGCCTGAGTGGAAAAGGAGTCCCAGACACTTCCCCACACACAGGAGCAGATCACCCCGCGCTTGTCTGGGTGAGCCAGCGCAGGTTATCCATGAGGAAAAGCCTCTGAGCAAGGGAAGGATGTCCCTGGCACGGCTGGACTGGGCTATCCCGGGAATGTTTGTGTTGGTGTTGCCTGGGATACCCGGGTTTGGTGGTGCTGATTTGCATTCCCGCTCCTCATTGTTCTCCAGGGTCTGAGCCAAGTTCTTCCCTGGGTCAGGAAAATTAAGCCGCAAACACCAGAGGTTTATGTTCAAAAAGGAGAGAGAGGAATCTTTTTACTTTATTCGAATAAAGGGAGAGGCCATGGAGCATTTCCCTGGAATCTCTCAAACTTTTGGAGGACTCAGCCTCTCTTTTATCCCAATTTCCCGGCCACATTTCCCTCTCTCTTTCCCCATTGGCTTGAGAGATACAGACTTCCCAGAACGCCTGATACCTAAGATTCCCCTCTAATGTATAACCCTCCCTTTTAATTTCTAATCCTTATAGAATCCATGGTTTTCCCGCATTGCTTCTTTCACCTTTCAATATCCACTTTCATTTATCAGCACACCTACAGTTTGTTTGCAAAGGCAAATGTCTTTTTCCTGATTCATCAATCAGTGGAATCCTTCCCATTGTTTCTTTTATCTCTCAGTGCTAGCCTTATCTACCAGCAGACTCACGGCTTGTTTCTAAAGACAAATCCAACATTCCTCTCACCCGTTCCAGGGATTTTCCTCACGGGTGAGGAGCAGAGGAGCATCCCACAGAGGAGCATCCCACAGAGGAGCATCCCAGGGCCACTGTAGGAACAGCAAATGGACACAGGACACATCCCCAGCCACATGGACATGGACCACAGCTCCAGGCTGTGGGTGCCCATCCCACCCTACAGCCAGGACATGGAAACAGGGAATGAAAGGCAGAGATGCTGCCTGGGTTTCTGATCAGCCAGGAGGGTTCACTGCCTGTCCCACACCAGCCCTACCATTCCTGAAGCCACGGAGAGCTGTGGAAGGATAAAGCAGTGGAAATTCCCAGGGCTGCAAAGCTCTGGCACTGCTGTCCCCACCTGAGCGTGGTGCAGGGAATAAAGCCCAGTGCTCTCCTCCCCACCTGGACACACTGGGGAGAGCACCTGCCAAAAGCCCTTGGAAATAGGGGTGGGGTTGGGTGGCAATTAATAGAATTTGTGCTTGGGTTTCATGTGTAAATATTCATTTTTGTATTTGATTTTAAGGAGTGGGCTTTGCCAGGCACTCTCCATAGCAGTTCTGTGTTTTAAAACTTCTGCTATACTTCACAACTTCTATTATCTTTTACAACTCCTATTTCACAACTTCTCTTGTATTTGCTTGTTTCTCTTGCCCGCCACGATGATAAAACAGAACCAGCAGCTGCATGACACCAAATTCTGCAAACTGTCTGCTCTTTTCTCAGCAGCTCAAAATTTCACAATGACTTGGGGACAGATAAGATGAACCCTCCATCTCCCAGGGCACCACCCTTTTGGTGAGAGCTTCCCCTGTGCCACCCTCCTTGTGAAAACTGCAGGAAACTCCTTTTTTTGGGGGGAGGTGGGAGGCTGATCTGGGGGGATCTGGCCCTGCTGTGCCCAGTTTCACTGGCCATGGGGAAGGTGCTGGAATCTCTAATCATCTCTCTCATTTAATCTGTTCGTCTTTACCCCCCCCGGCTCCTCCTTGAAACCCCAGGGCCTCCACAAACAGAACAAACAGAGCTTTCCCAATTAATTTCTGTTTGCTGGGAGCTGGTTGCCAGTATTTCTCCATAACTTGTTTATTTTATGCTACACCTTTGTTTGAAGGCTGTGCCCAGCTCCCTACAGTGATCACGGTGCCCTTTGCAACTGAGAACTTTCCCCTACTTTTTTTTTTTTTCCCTCAGCAACTGAAGTTTATTAGAATTCAAGAGTATGTAAGAAAATTTCAGTTTTCTTCTGTCTGAAGCACATCACTTCTAATCCATGAGGATCTCCAGCACTCTTCCCTTGCCATCTCATAGAACCACAGAATACTGGAATCACAGAGTGGTTTGGGTTGGAAGGGATTTTAAAGCTCCCCTTCCACTTTCCCAGGTTGCTCCAAGCCCCATCCAGCCTGGTCTTGGACACTTCTAGGAATGGGGCAGCCACAGCTTCTCTGGGCCCAGGGAAATGGCATCATCTAAATATTTTGTATTTTTAGGAAGTTTTTTTGACACACTTGAAGATTTTAAGGAAATTGAGGGAGGACAATTTTCTTCTGAAAAAACTCTGCGGTTTGTTCCTACAAACCAGATCCTGGTTCCTGTTCCTTGGTGGTTTTCCAGTTCTCTGGTCCTGATGCTGCCAGCTGCCATCCTGATCCCTGGGCTGATTGATGGCTCTGCTGCTGACAGTCTGGGCTGCTCTTCTCGTGCTTTACCTTGGTTTTATTTTCTCTTGGGTTGTTTGAGAAACCAGAACAGTTCCTGCCAGATCTCCACCCAAGATGTGCTGGGTTTCCCCTCATGAAGACTCTCCTGCCTGGACATCTGACATGACATCATTTCCCATCTTTATTTTCCTCAGAGAATGTGCATTTCTTCAGCACCTTTTGTGATTCCCTCTTGAAGTCTTCCACAATTCCACCTCTCCCTCACTAGGCAGGGTTCAAGAAGTTCCTTTTCAAAGTCAGAGCCAGCTGAATGATTGATTGATTGATTGATTGATTGTCTCGTCTGGCTGGAAAAGGGAGTAGGAGAAGCCAGGTGAGTATTTGCAGGTATGGGGAGGGGTTGGGTGGCACAGAGCAGTGATGTGTCACAGCTCCCGCTGCCACCAGGCCACAGCCAGAGCTCCAGCTCTGGCAGCAAAGGTACAGGAGGCTGCCCCAAAATGCTGAGCTGACCTCCATGCCCTTCCTGATGGGAAAACTGCAGCTCCTGCATGCTGGAGAAGCAGGAATTGGCAAAGGTCAGCCCTGTCCCTGCTAACTCAGGTGTGGATGTGTGACCTGGGTGTGCCCTGCCCCTCTCTCCAAAACATGAGTTTCCCTATTTCACCTTTTCAAAGAACTCATCAACAAAGGAAATCATCATCTCCCTTGTTTTATTGCCATTATTCTCAATTTTCAGGATAGAAAAGGAAATTAACTTTTAACAAGAGCAAATGAGGGCTAAAGCATTACTAATGGAATGTTTATTCCCTGTGGACAGTAATTCCAGCCACAAAACAGGATTTCATCAGCCCCTTTTCAAGAGCTGGCAGGAAAGATTTCCTTACAGGGAGACAGGGACAAGATTGATGGCACAATCCTTTTTATTAAGGTGTAGAATGGATCAAGATTACAGAAAAAATGCAGAAAGAAGTGGTGGTGATTCATAAAACTCGGGGGAAGATATTTAATGCAAATCTCAGGGTGTTCTGGCTTCCTTCTTCAGTAATTCCCATTTCCAGTGTGGAAATAATCGTGGAGCAGCATTTTGGGACACACCCTTCATCCAGAACCTCAAGTGGAAATTCCCGCTGATGCCCTGGGCTGAAATTTTGGGAATAGCTTGAACAAGTTTAGAAGTTCTCAGCTCTTCTAAGGAATTGTGCAGGAAAGGCTGAGTTTCCCCAGCCCCTCTCAGCTCCTCGGGGCTCCATCCTGCAGAGCTCTGCCCCTGCCTGCTCCAACTCTTCCAGGAAATCCCGGGAGCTCCTGGATTTCTCCCTGTGCTGTGCCACAAACCTTTGTGGGGTTTGTTTCTGCTCCTGCCCTGGTTTCACCTCAGTCTCTCATTAGTGCTCAAATGATCAGATCAATCTGGTTCCAGTTAAATTCTGTGCTTTCCTTTGAGTCACAACATTCCACTGCTCAGCTCATCCCCAGGGATGAGGCTGGCAGGAATTTCCCTGGAAGCCACAGATTTCCTCAATTTTCTGCTGAACTCATCCACCTTTCCCACCCCCACACCAGCGCCCGCTCACCCCATCCTGGCTGGGCTGCCTCCATCCCCACCACGCACCCTTGGCAGGAAATTATTTCCATACAGCCTTGTCCTCAGCCACACATTTTGTCACTTTTACCATCCCAGTGCTCTCCCCCATGCCACCAGGAGGGAGCCAGAGGTTGTGTGGGGCTGGGATTAATCCAGGACATGGTGCCAGGGCCACTCCCACGAGGAGGTACCAGCCCAGAGGGGCTCAAGCAGAGCTGATATCATCCCTTATCCAATGAAGATTTACCTGGAGTAGGATTTCTCCAACTTTTACACACTGTTGTAAAGTGAGAGCAGAGCAAACACTCGTTGCAGTGGTGGGAGTGTAAATGCAAAGTCACTGGAAAAGCCCAAAGGAACTTTTGGGATTGGAAAAGGACAGTGAAGGAATGGCTGGAGCACGGAGCAGGTGAAGCCTGTGCTGAGCAGGGATCTCTGAGAGCTCTGAGAGCATTTTGGGAATCTCAAACCACCAGGGACAGCTCCAATGCCATGATCCATCTCCATCTGCACCATCACACAAAGCAGCTCTTCCTCCACAGGGAGCTGAAACCAGCATGAGGAATTACTGGTGCTGCCTCCAGTGTGTCCCAGAAATCTCTCCTGTAAGAACATTGGTAATGTTCAGCTGGCAAGGGCAAAGTTGTCAGAAAGAAAAATTTATTATTTCTTTAACAAACAATCCTTGGCGCTATTTCAGGCATTATTGTTGCATAAAAGAATAAAAGAGGAAACAAATTCTGTGCTATTCCCTGCAATTCCCATATCAGTGAACGTGTTTACTTTGGACAAATAACAGGAATTAGGAAAATGTTTCCTAGTGGGACCACACGGATGGATAAAAATAACTTCCATAGAAAATCACCTAATTAAGAGAGTGACCCAAGTGTGCTGCTGCAAATCTTTGGGAGATCCAAGCTGCCAACCCAGGAAAATTCTTTTGGATCATGAAAATCCTCAATTCCCTGCAAAGGGCAATTAGGGTTTGAGATTTTTATGGCAAAGGCCAGTTAGGGTTTGGGGGTTTTATGGCAA